CACAGCATACATAGCAGCAAGAATAGCATCAAAGTCCAATCAAAGATAGCTACTCCAGCCCTAGACAGCTGGTCCCAGCGAGGGATCTCAGAGGCGTCAGGAAACTGGCGGCGCCAAGCGTCAGTCAGGCGGCCGAAGCAACGCTGGAAGGAGTGTGGACCACCACACTGCTCACCCGCACGGTCGCCAGTGCGCAGGACGTAAGTGCACGGACCAGTACCCCCACCCCGCTGACGCGCAGAGTACTACTCACGGAGCTGCTGCGGGGAGAGGGTCTCCTGACCACGCTGCTGCTGCTGGCGCTGACCACCACCGGAGCCACTCCTCCTCGGCGCGCCACGACCTCCGCCGCCTCCTCCGCCGCCGCCGCCACCACCTCCACCGCCACCGCCACTCCCACCGTCGCCGCCGCCACCGCCGCCTCCGCCTCCACCCCCACTACCACCGCCGCTGCCGCCCCCGCCTCCACTGCCTCCGCCGACACCTCCACTCCAGCCACTACTCCCGCTACCACCCTCACCTCCGCCGCTGCCTCTACCTCCGCCTCCACCGCCCCCGCCACCTCCACCACCGCCCCTTCCCCCCTTGCTCTTGCCAGAGCGACGTCTCCCGCTGGGTGCAGACGGCGCTCCGACCGACTCAAAACCAACAAGGTCGGCCGTAGCAGCAGAGGCGACAGAGGGCAGGAGGGGGGAGGGGGAACATCCCTCAAAGATGGGGGTGCGCGGGTCACCACGAGAGGCCCCTACAGCGAGAATGCCCTTCTCGGCTGCGAGGAGGGACTTCTCGAGGATCTCGACAGTGAGAGTGGTGGGGCAGACTGCGAGTAGGTCGTCCCTGACTCCGCGAAGGGAGTCAGGGAGGCGGGTGACAATGTAGTAGAGAGTGAAGTACTGGGGGGGGGGGTTCTTTGGCGCAAAACTCAGCAGGAAGTGCAGCGCGGAAGCGAGCGTCACTAGTGCGCAGGTGGGTAATGAGGTCGGCGACTGTGGCAAAAGCAGCAAGGTCGGGAAAGAGGTACGGTAGCATGAGGCGGCTCAGTGCAGCAGTGGCAGGGGTGGAGTAGCGTGCGATAACGGCGTCGTACAAGGTCTTAGCACTCTTGTATGACCCAAAGTGCGCACGCTCAGCGGGAGGGAGGTGGCGACGCACAGCAAGACGTGCAGCAGCATCGCGTGTGGCCCACTGTGAGCGAATAGTGGCATCCTCAGTAGCAGCAGGGGCGGGAGAGGCACCAGAAGTGAGATCAAAGAGAGAGAGTCCGTCAGCTCTGTCGCACTGCAGGAAAAGCAGTAGGTCGTCTAGCCACACGTCAAAGTCAATGGCTCTGCCCTCAGCGTCAAAGGCGAGGACACTGGGGGTAGCCATGAGAGCAGTAGAGAGAGGGCAGTGCGCAGAGTAAAGCTCAGTGCTCACCAGACAGGGCAGTGCAGGGAGGGCTCGGGCGGCTCGGGCGGCTCGGGCGGCTCGACTGCTGGGCGGCTCGGGCAACTCGGCGGCTCGGGCGGCTCGGGCGGCACTGCAGCTGGGGCGGCTCGGCTGCTGGGGCGGCTCGGCTGCTGGGGCGGCTCGGCTGCTGGGGCGGCTCGGCGGCTGGGGCGGCTCTACTGCTGGGGCGGGGCCGTCAGGTGCAGCGGCGGGCCGGCAGGTGCAGCGGCGGGTCGACCGGTGCAGCGGCGGGCCGGCAGGTGCAGCGGCGGGGCCGTAGGGTGCAGCGGCGGGCCGGTAGGTGCAGCGGCGGGGCCGTCAGGTGAGGCGGCGGGCCGCTGGGTGCAGCGGCGGGCCGTAGGGTGCAGCGGCGGGCCGGCAGGTGCAGCGGCGGGCCGTAGGGTGCAGCGGCGGGCCGGCAGGTGCAGCGGCTGGGCCGTCAGGTGAAGCGGCGGGCCGCTGGGTGCAGCGGCGGGCCGTAGGGTGCAGCGGCGGGCCGGCAGGCGCAGCGGCGGGGCCGTCAGGTGAGGCAGCGGGCCGTAGGGTGCAGCGGCGGGCCGTAGGGTGCAGCGGCGGGCCGGTAGGTGCAGCGGCGGGGCCGTCAGGTGCAGCGGCGGGCCGGCAGGGCCGCGTCAGAGCCGGCGGCGGGGCCGCGTCAGTGGAGGCGGCGGGGCCGCGTCAAGCAGGCGGCGGGGCCGCGACGTAGCGGGCGGCAGGGCCGCGTCAGAGCCGCCGGCGGGGCGGCGTCAGTGGAGGCGGCGGGGCCGCGTCAAGCAGGCGGCGGGGCCGCGATCAGGAGGGGCAGCGGGGCCGCGAGGGAAATGGCGACCCGAGGGGTCGCTAAAAAAAATGTGCGCCTCGGGGCGCGCTTCGGTGGGCCCTAAAAAAAACGGTCCTTAGGAAGGACCCGCTCTGATACCATGTGAAACAAGTGAACAGGGATGAAATGACTCAGGAAAGATTGGGTACAAATACAACCCTAGAAACCCTGTACCCCATATGTGCTACCCCACTATAGCCTACAGCAACTATGTCATATAAATCTGACAAATACTACTCGCCCAGACCAGCCCGCTACTAACAGGCCTATTTACCCACGGATATCAAACAGACCCGTTCTTTACAGGAGGCAACTCACAGCAATTCGCAGCGGCAAAAGGAGTCTATTACGTAAAAGCTGGAACCGACCGCATCTGGGTACCAGGATACACGCTACTACGGGAACTACTGTTACAGGAAGCACACGACGGAGTTACCTCGGGACATTTCGGGGTAGAAAAAACACGGCAGCAGTTGCAGCGGTACTACTACTGGCCAGAAATGTTGACCGATGTGCAACGACACGTGGCATCGTGCCCCACTTGCCAGCTCATGAAGTCAAGCAGGAAGCGGCCGGCAAGACAATTACAACCCATCCCGCCCCCAGAGCGTGCTTGGCAGCAGGTGACGATGGATTTCGTCACCGGGTTACCAGCTGGGGCGAGTGGGAATGACGCGATCCTGGTCGTCGTCGATCGACTAACGAAGATGGCTCATTTCGCAGCATGCAGGAAATCAATCACAGCCGAGGAAACCGCCCGACTCTTCATCACCACCGTCGTTCAATGGCACGGGATACCCGCATCGATCATCAGCGACAGGGACACGAAATTTACAAGCAACTTCTGGCGGAACTTGTGGCAGCAGTTCGGCACACGCTTACAGTTCAGTTCATCCTATCACCCCGAAACCGACGGACAGACGGAACGGACAAATCAGACCATGGAGCAGCTGATTCGAGCCACGTGCGACGATCCGAATACGTGGGAACAGCAACTGCCACTCATCGAGTTCGCATACAATAACGCACCATCAGCCACGACGCAACAGTCGCCGTTTTACTTGAATTACGGACAGGACCCAACAGTACCCATGACACCGAATCCCGACAACCCCGTCCCACGAGCACAACAGTTCGCCGAGATTCTGCAAGCAGCACGGACCAGGGCAGCAGAAGCAATCAAGAGATCAAGCATCATCGCTAAACGCAACGCCGATCGTCATCGCAGACTCGTTACTTATTAGCCCGACGACCTCGTTTTACTCGACACTCAGAACCTCCGCCTGCCCATCACTCCAAAACTCCGCCCTCGATACTGTGGGCCATTTCGAATCAGTCACATGGTTACGCCAGTCACCGCGCACCTCCTCCTCCCTGCTGACTGGTACGTCAGCCCCTCGTTCCACGTCAGCTTACTTCGCCCTTACGTGCCATCCACCAGCCAACTCCCACGACATCGACCCACCAGCATGACACGACCACCAACCGAACCAGTCATCACCCCCGACAAGATCCTGAGCCACAGAGTTCGCGACCCTCGAGGAGCCCGAAAAGTGGAGTTTCTGATCCGCTGGAAAGATCGTACCCCCACCGAGGACAATTGGGTTCCCCTGGAGAAAGTTGAAAATCACCCCGTCGTCACCGACTACCTGCGTAGCCGCAATTTCCGAGACATCCACGCGCTTTCATAAGGAGGACCTCCTTAGGAGGGGGGGGTAGTGTAAGGAAATTCCCTTTTCCTTACTTCGCGCCCCTGCTCAACGCGTACATCACTGTAGCACCTCAGTCAGCACCGTTACCACTCGCGACCATCGCATCATTCATCATCCCGCCCTTTTCGCACATCGCATCCCGACCTCACGGCTCGGCTGGTAACCCGCGCTCCGGGCCTACGCTTCGACACTTTCCCAACCTCAGTCTCAGGCTCGTCGCGCGACCATTACCGTTACCACTTTAGTTTCGCTATATAATGTTCGCTCATGCCTTCGCTCATTTGTATTCTTGCTTCGATAGTGCAATTCTCGTTCGTCCACTCAATTGCACTCGTAACTCCTCGGTACTTCATTGTTTCTTGATTCTGTAATTCTCATTCTCGTTATTCAATATTCTGCGCACTCTGCAAGGTTCATTCATAACAGGCATGGTCAATTTGCAACAAAACGAACTTCTGTAGAGCTGACTGACAAGTGCACTGAATACATCTGGCTTTGTAGTTCATGCGAATATAGAACACAAGCACTCATGCTAAGAACAATATGTGGTACACACAGGGTACACAAACAAGGGTCACACCATGGGGGCATCACAAAAAGCACCTAGCTCTTCAGCCAAGCTAGGAGCTTTTAGGGAGGCCACCTGGTGGTCTTAAGAAAATATAGAAAACAACAGCGCAACTAAAGCCTGAGATTGTCCCACATCTACCAATGTCCGATTAATGCTACTTATTCCCCAATATCAATCACCTGGCCTCCATGGCAACGCCTTACTGCTTGCAATGCATGTGATCGTCGTAGAATACTGCCAACACCTCCATCATCAAGTGCTAGTGCACCTCAACTTGAGGGTTCCCTCCCCAGATCTCCGCTTCAAAGCATCACACAAATCCCCAGACCAGCAAGCACCCCTCCAATGCCTCCCTAATCCTCCACACGGCGATTTGGGTGAATCCCACAAAACTGCCGTAGTCAATGCCAATTCAAACAGAATTTGCTTTCGACATCTCCTTTCAGAGCCAGTTACAGCCTTCTCTCACTCACCCTCTCTTGGTGCGAGACAGCCTGACCAGCAGCAGCCAGTGCAGCAGCCGCAGCACACACCCTATCCCCACCAGCACCGCCACACACTCCCACTTGCTCATCTGCGTCAGCCCCAGCGAGTACACCAGCAGCTCCGGCCCTGTCTGTAAGCATGTACTTACAGACAGATCTGTAAACGGCGTCCGAGCGAGCGCGGGGCGAAGCACAGCTAGTGACTGATTCACCTGAGCAGGCGAGAGGAGCACGGAGAGAGGAGTGGCGGCAAAGAGATCCCCCGCAGGCTGGTAGCAGGTGGAGGGGCCGGCTGCGGCGAACTCGTTGAGGGTGACTGCCTCGTAGGCGTACTTGACTGGTGAGAGGTAGTGCAGCCAGATCCAGAACGGTGGGATGCTCTGCCGCTGGATGTAGAAGCCGCAGACGAGGGCGAAGTTGGCCATTGTGGAGATGACTATGGCGTAGGCGAGGATGACACTGGAAGAGGGGGAGGGTAGGGAGAGAGGAAAGGAGAGGGACGTTGACTGAGGGCAAAGTTGGCCATGGTTGAGCTGACTATGGCACAGGCGAGGATGACACTGTGGGGGGGAAGGACGGGAGAGCAGGGGGAGGAGGGAAGGAATGGGGGAGACGAGGGGAGGGAGAAGAGAAAGGAGGGGGTCGTTGAGTTCGCTTGGACGGGTGCAAAATTGGCCAGGGTGGAGATAACTATGGCGTAGGGGAGTGGAATGAGGGAGAAGAAAACAGGGGTTCAAGAAGTTTGCTAAGATAAGGGCGACTTGCCAATGATGGTGGGGATGGCAATTGCGTAGGAGAGGAAGACACCGTGTATGAAGGCAGGAGGCTGGAGAGGGTGATGGAATGGGAGGTGGCTTTTGTGATGGAAGTGGAGCAGAGTACTCCGAGGAGGGAATGTCCATAATGAGTGCATGCGTTTATATTCGTTCACTTGCTCACAATCCTTCTGACAGCACTGTTGCTGCTAGGTGTCTTGCACTCATTTGTTCACTTGGCCATCAGTGGGATACGAGTGGACGCTGGTAGTCGGACAACATGCACTCACTGGCTTTACCACACTCCAATGCTCACAGCAGCACTGAGGAAGGTAGTAGTAGAAGCAGACGACGCACCCCGAACGCATAGGGAGACGCGCACGCATTATAACACTCAGCAATGCCTCGCAGCACTCACTTGTTCACAGCAGCACTAACGAACGTGGCATAGGCGTTCCCGGTGAAGAGGCAGCAGAAGCAGACGAGCACCACGAAGAAAAACGAGGTTCCTCCGCCGGACAGGTTGACACACCACCAGGACTCGGCAGTGATGGCAAGGGCCATGAGCACGTGCAGAGGCAGGTACACCAGGGTCGACGCCACCATGTATGTGGACGGCCGGTACGCGTGCTGCGACGTTTCCCGGATGAAAATGTTGCGCTCCTGAAGGTGGTAAGGGTCAAAGAGGAGGAAAACGGTATGCAATCCAGGGATGCGAAGGGGTGGGAAGGGGTGAAAAATGGATTGTGAGAGCGTTGAGCCGGGCGAAAAGATGTGCCACCAGGACTTGGCAGTGATGGCGAGGGCCATGAGCACGTGCAGAGGCGAGTACACCATGTATGGTGCCCATGCCACCATGTACGTCGGCGACAGGATGGTATTCGATTGCACCCCATTCCATGCAGAATGACAAACCTGGTCGTACCAGATAACACACAGGGGCACACACAGTAGCACCTGGCACACAGGGGGCTCGGGGCAGATCGTATAAGCTGATCTGGACGAGTGCCAGCGACCTTGCAGAGGGGGGATGGAGCCTATGGGCTCACCTGGATGAATAAGGGTGTGGCGTCAGCGGAGGAGAAGAAGAGCGTGCACACGAGGAACGAGATGGGCGATTCAGAGCTGATTCAGAAAGGCTGAGACGGAGCCTATGAGCTCACCTGGATGAAGAGTGGCGTAGCATCAGCGGAGGAGAAGAAGAGCGTGCACACGAGGAACGAGATGAACGCCAGCCGCTCGTGCAGCCCCTCCGCGCTGAAATTTGGCAAGGGGAAGCACGGAGAGGGTTGGGGGGAGGAGGGGGTTGGGAGAGGGGGCGGGAAAGGAGAGGAAAGGGTGGGGAGCGCGGAGACGAACGGGAAGGTTTAGAAAAAGGGAACAGGGGGACGAAGGAAAGGCGAAAGGGAAGGAAAGCATGCAGCGAAGAGTGGTAACCAGCAGAGTGGCAGACTAGAAGTGTACATCAAACAGGGCGTGGTGGACATCAGCAGGCCGCAAAGCTCGCAAGGTAGGCTACTTAACCAGGTTCCAGATGAGACTCACTTGAAGGGCGGGCGCCAGAAGAGCGACGCGATGAGCAGCCCCGTGACCATGATCAGCAGCAGGCGCAGCAGGTACAGCGCAGGGGTGCGCGCGATGACGCGCACGGATCGGCTCATCAGCACGCGCAGCTCCCGCCACCACCCGTTCGCATACTTGCGCTCGCCGCAGTGCTCTGTCTGCGCGCCCTCGCCCGCGCAATTGCGCTCCCCGAGAGGCTGTAGCTGCGCCGCACCCGCGCTTTGGCGCTCCCCGAGGAACCCCATCTGCGCGCTGGCAGCGCCGCCACCGCCGCTGTAAGTTTCCGCCACTCGAGCATCCGGCGAAGCACCTGAAGTACCACCTGGTGAGCCGCCTGTAGGGATAGTAACCATTTCATTCCCGTTCGCCGCGGCCACTGCAGCCGCCGCCGCGGCCGCTGCAGCCGCAGTTCTAGCAGCTACAGCTGCTGCAGTCGCTGCCGCCACTGCAGCCTGATCCGGGCTGAAGCACGTGGAGGGGCTGCTAGGAGGGATGGAAAAGCTTTCGCCGCCCTCGCTACTGCCGCGGGACGAGTCGCCAACGCCGCTGGAGCCTCCTTGTGACCAGACGGTGTAGAAGTCGGCCAGCCGTTGGATTCCGTCTCTCTTGTCTGTCGGAATTCCCGTCTTCGACTCGCCCTCCGTCTCCTTCTCACCATCACAGCAATTGCCTGCCGGTTGCCTGGCCAGAGATGCATTTGTCCTTTTCGGAGCAGCTTCCCCCGCCACGTGGCACTTAATAATCTCGGTACCATCCATGTCATACTCCTCCTCGTCATCATCCTCGCCGTCCACGTCGTCGCCGCGCTTTGCGCCTCCCTCCGTCTCGTGTCCCAGCCGTTGGATCACATCCAGAGCAAATTCCGTCGGGTTCGCGAACGGCGGCGGCGGGCAGCCGAATGCGGACAAGAACTCGGGCAGCTGCGCGGGCTGCCCGAAAAACAACATCCGTCCTGCGCCGAGCAGCAGCAGCCGATCCAAGAGACCCAGAAGGCGAAAGCTCGGCTGGTGCAGAACCATCACCACAATACTCCCCGTCCGCACCGCGATCCTCTTAATCACCTTCACGACTCGGAACGCGCTAGTAGAGTCCAGCCCCGACGTGGGTTCATCCAAAAAAAGAATCTTGGGATCGCCGATCATTTCCACGCCAATAGCGACGCGCTTCCTTTCGCCGCCGGAGATGCCGCGGTTATTTTCGTCGCCGATTTTGGAGTTTTCCACCTTGGTGAGGCCCAGTAGGCGGATGAGGCGGCGCACCTTCTCCGCCTTCTCCACGCGGCTAACGGTCGGCGGCAGCCGCAACTCCGCGGCGTACATGAGCGTCTCGCGCACCGTCAGCGCGGGAAACATCAGGTCGTCCTGCATCACGTACGCGGACAGCCGTCGGATCGTGTCGCCTTTCACCGGAGCACCGTTCAAGGAGATCTCCCCAGTGAGGTTGCGCGAAGAGATGCGGTCCGAGAGAACGTCAAGGAGTGTGGTTTTTCCCGAGCCGCTCGCTCCCATTATCGCGGTAACTTCGCCAGCCTTCGCGTATGCGGAGACGTCGCATAGAAGCTGCTTCGTTACGCGTTGTGACTTCGGCTGCAGGAGTTTCTTGCGTTGAACCGTATAGGAGACACCGCGGAAGGCGAGCGAGGATATCGGTTTCGCGGAGCTGACTAGCGGCGGGATGAAGGGCGGACTCCCTGCTTCCGGAGCGACGTCGACCGTGCATGAGCATTGCCGCAGGACTGCATTTAATGAGAAGAAGGGGTAGCTCGCATCTGCTGCCGCCATATTCCTGGCTAAACGCGAGTAAGTAAGTGAGAGCGCAAGTACGCAAGTGAGTGGCTAGAGCTGCTTGTGTCCGCCCGTTTGTGAAAAAGTGTGTGAGTTGGTGATTTAGGAGAGAAGTGCGAGACTTACGTGCTGCTCGCGTTCCCGAATCAAGCAAAAAACACTACAAAAGTGAATGAGGTGGAAGGCAGTTGCTGCGACTTGATTGACAGTCTGTGTTGACAACGGCCTCGGCATTTGCTAACTTCCGGCCGTAGGCAATCGGTAAGTTTCGGCTCGGTCCTCGGCATTTGCTAACTCTAGTCTAGGAATTTGCTAACTCTGGTCTAGGAATTTGCTAACTCCCTTGCATTTGGCTCGATGTTGACAAAGCTGATGCCATCAAGACTCTAATGACTTGTCTAGAGAAAGCAGCGCCTAGCATCAACTCCCTAGGCTGCGGCGCACTGCCGCGGAGATGCTGCGTGGAGTGGATGTCCTTCCGCGGTGGTGGAGATATTTAGGGTGGAACAAATGCTGCAAGGCGACTGTTGATGACATCCCAAGTGGGGGAGGGGGGAGCGGGATGAATGGCGGAGAGGGCACAGTGAAAAAGGGACATGTAGTGAAGCCACGCGGGGAGAAGGGAAAGGGACGTGGGGGACAGCTTCGGTTCAGGACGCGGCACCTCTAGCACCGATCGAATGTTTTAGGAGTTTAAAAATGTTTCAAAATATTTAAATGCTTTTCGCAGGGTTTTATTACGGTTGAATCAGCGATCCTGCGATCGATCGTGCAAAATTGCTTGAGGTGCCGCGTCCTCAGTCTCCAGACTACTGCTTAGCAGAAGGGCGGTGCTCTGCAGGAAAATTTGTGTCGGAGCGGAACCACCAAACGTCGGAGTGATGCCGATCGGACGGTGGTCAGAGCTTGTTGTAAAGCTCGGGAGGGACGAGCGATCCACGTGTATCCCGAGAGTGTCGTGCGTGCCGTGGGCACAGGCGGGATACTCGGCACGCGCCGTGAAAACTTTTAGGTTTGACCTGCAAATGTCAACTTCACTGGTGGTGGTAGGGGGAGGACCCCACATGTCAGAACTCCGGACTGGAATCTCCATTTAGGACAGCTGTCTCCACCTGTAGGGAACCTCGAAACGCTGGGACACGAGCGTCGGTTCTGGTGGTGGCGGGAAGGAATTGGTGAAAAATGCGAAAGTTGTGACCTGCAGATGCCTGTAGGTGTCGATCCGAATTGGGAACTCCTTTTCAGTTTACAACCAGTAATCCCAGCAGCGTGCGTTCTTACCCATATTAATCAAAAGTTATCCATTAGGTACAGAAGGCATTGGTGGCATTCGAATTCATTATTTGGGTAAGTACGCACGACAGTACTTTCAATTGTACACGTATTTGTGAAAGTTGGGTCAGTATCAAATCGTACACGTCATATTCCTAGATGATGGCGCTGCCCACGTCAGGCCGAATCGCGTCTCTCATTGGATGCGGTTCTGATTGCTGGCATCAAGTTGGAAAATCCCTCCTAGAAGCAGTCGCCCTTTTCGGACCAGGATTCACAGACTTCATAGTGTTCGGTGAAACGCGAATATTTTGCGTAACAGTAATGTTGATTAGGATGAAACAGAACTAGTCCATTATATTTATGACCTCCATGAACAGTCTGTCTGTCTGTCACACTGTCTATCTGTCAGTCATTTCTGGCATGCTGTTACGGGTGCAATTAATCGAGGTAGCAAGGATTGCACTTAGTGTCAAACGAGTACAAAATGTGAGCGAAGGCATGAGCGAACATTTATACGCGAAACATGCAAACAGTAACGCGTTGCGTGCGAGCAAGCTAGCGCTTGTCAGAGGTCCACTGGTGATCCCCGATTGATCCTAACGAAGAGTTACAGGCACGTTGGCCTGGAGAGTTATGCGCGCACTGACCCGCATCTTAACAAGCCCTTTTATCTTAGTGGTATAGTAACTGAGATTTCTGACATGATATCAGAGCGAAGAGCTCGGGGTTCGAAACCCGGTATATGCACTTCGAGCATCCTAGTGCGGGGGGGTGTCAGAGGTCCACTGGTGATTCCCGATTAATCCTAGGGAAAGGTTACAAGCACGTTGGCCTAGGGGGTTATGGGCGCACTGACCCGCTTACTTAACAAGCCATTTTATCCCAGTGGTCTAGTGACTGGGATACTGACAGCGATAGGCTGGCATTGAGGCTCAGGCTAGTCGCGAAGCGTAGACCGACACGGCCGGGCCAGCGGTGCATGGTTTGGTGAAACAGTGCGCGCGAAGTTGGCGAAGCCCCGTTAGTTGTCAAGGGCGAACAACGGGTGCTGCTGTACGCGATGTTGCCGGATGCGCTAAGGAATATCTAGACAAGATTCGACGTTTACGTCGGAAGGGTTGCGTAGAGTTGTATCTGTGAAGAATGAGGAATCAATGAACCAGCATTTGCTGGGTACAAGTAGGAAACCCTAGAAAACTGTACCCCATAGTGTCTACCCCACTATAACCTACATAAGCTATATAATATGAGTTTCACACACCCCCATAGGCAAAGTGGGGGAGAACAAGAGGTCACAAGACCAGTCAAGCAAAGCAAAGCAAGCTTAGGGTGGATCACAACGTCAGCACAAGAGCAAGGCCAGAAGGCCACTTCACATGCAAGATCAAATATAAAGGTAAATAAACAAAGGCAGGTACAGAGAGATCACACTACAGCAAGGTCAAGAAGTGAGCAAGTGAGGCCAAGTAGGCACAAGACCTAACATCGTACAGAAGCGCCGATGATCACAAGGCGGAAGTGCCTTGGTAAAGATATCAGCAGTGTTAAACTCAGAGGCCACGCAAGCAAGGCGCAGCTGACCACGCTGCTGCAGCTCACGAGCAAGGAAGTAGCGAAAAGCAATGTGTTTCATTCTGTGCTCCATTCTGTGCTCCCAACTCCAGGCCAGCATGGCCTTGTTGTCTACGTACAGAACTGGAGGAGAACGAGGCGACTCTCCTAGGTCAGTCAGCCGGTAGGGGAGCCAGTGAAGCTCCTGTGGAGCCATGGCCCCCGCGTAGATCTCAGCCTCACAGCTGGAGCTGAGAACAGAAGACGAGCGGGTAGACCGCCACGAAACAAAGCCGGAGCAAAGGCTGAAGGTGTAACCTTCTGACGACCGCTACAGAGCCTCGTCGTCAGCCCAAGAAGCGTCAGCGTGACCTGTGAAGACCACTCGACGTCGCCCTCCAAGCACTAGCCCCATGCCCGACGTACTGCACAAGTAGCGCAACACCCTCTTCGCTGCAGCCATGTGCTCTGGTCGGTGTCTCCCAGGAGCAACATAGCGTGCCAAGATGCTAAGAGGGTATGCAAGGTCAGGTCATGTGCAGGTCATCAAGTACATGAGGCAGCCAACAAGCTCTGGGTACGGGCCACTCGGCTCTACGGACTCATCCGTAGGCAGAGCTGAGAGCGAGTGGCGATTAGACAGAGGAGTGGCCTGAGGCGAGGAGTAAGTGAAGTCGAAGCGCCGAAGGACCTGCTGCACCATGTGTGACAGAGTCAGGGTAATCGTGCGCTGTGCTCTATCCCGGGTGATCTGCAAGCCAAGGTAGCTGCGCAGTTCACCCAGGTCTGTGCACGTGTGTCTCTTTTACAGCTCGGACTTCACGTGAGCGAGTCCAGAAGTGTCAGCAGTGGAAAAGACCAAGTCGTCAACGTACACGAGGATGTAGAACGGCGGCAAAGAGGTGTCGGTGCGCAGAAAAAAGAACGGGTCGGCAGTAGAAGGAGCAAACCCAAGAGCCGCAAGTGTAGTCCTAGGTTTGTCGTGCCACTCACGGGGCGCTTGGCGGAGACCGTAGACTGGCCGCCGGAGGCTCCACTGGGTATCAGGGGGGAAACGACCAAGTGAAGCCAGGTGGGCGGCACAGCCAGATCTCCTCGTGCAGGCTGCCCTGCAGGAAAGCTAGACTGAAAACAAGAGAGTGAAGCTCGTAGTCGCGCTGAGCGGCTATGTGCAGCAGCACCCAAAGAGTGGTCATCTTCAGAGTGGGAGAGAAGATCTGAAAGTAGTCAACTCTTTGCCGCTGACTGAAGCCTCGAGCCACGTAACGCGCCTTGAAGACAGGCGGAGAACCCGGCGGCCGCTTCACCCTGAAAATCCACATGCCACTGACGATGTTCGCCTCAGGTGGGGGAACCTCGTCGATGTAGGTGCCTGTGGACTTCCAGGAAGCCATCTCTGCGTCCATGGCTGACTGCCACTGTGAGGAGTAGGGACCCTCGATTGCCTCAGCGTACGATCGAGGAGTCGGGATGTCTGGTGCATCCAGGTCTCCCTCAGGGGCAATCAGCGTGGACACGAGATGAGGCAAAGCAGCAGCAAAACACTGGAACTCCTCCTGCCTGTCCTCAAGGACGTCCATGCTAAGAGCACACTCACCCCTGACGGACGGAGGACGGAAAGACTCAGACTCAACAACAAGAGTGGCAGTGTAGTCTAGACAACAGCGAGCCGCGAAGTCGACAAGCTCAGCAACTAGGGCAGACGTAGCAGTGGACTCAAAGGAAGTGTTAGTGACAACATTGGCCAGGAGACGCGTGACACTAGGACTGGCAGCACGAAGAGAGTTAGACTCAGGGTCAGTTAGAAGAGGAAGCGCGGTAGCGAGTGTCACTAGTGCGGAGGTGCGTGATGAGGTCAGCGACTATGGGAAAGGCAGCAAGGTCAAGGCAGAGGTACG